GTACAACTATTATGTAGACATAACAACAACAAAGAAACCAATGGCAGTTGTGTATGTGACTTGGAAATAGACATCATTTCTCCCGACACCATTTTTGTAGTTTTCTGTCTGTAAGTAGAGATGCAAATGAAAATACAGGGAAAAATACAGAGATGAGAAAAATGATTTAATTAACCACATTTTCAGGGTTTTTTTTCTTCTTCAATAGTTGGCTGTTCTTCAACCCTATTGGCACTTTTACTATTTTTGGAACTTTATTTCAACCCTATTGGCATTTTTACTATTTTTGTAACTTTATTTTGACTGTTTTGCAGAATTGAAACAAAGAAAACAGACACGAGAATATGTCTGACTCACTCAATTCTCAAATGTTTTTAGCCATTCGGGTCCACAACCACAAGATGAGAGGACTTAGTATTTCATCATCATAGATGTTCCACTAGTACATTTCTGTGTTTCGACCTCACCGTTACTTTCAAGTTGACCACCTGAGCTACCAGAACTTGAAGACATTTGGGACTTATTGTGCTCGTGTAAATATGACCTTCAAGATAACTAGTCACTGTTTAATGCAATGCTAAACTGAATAAATTTAAGCTTGGAATTAAGACCATTTTAAGATAAAACCAGTTTTAGTCTGCTGTGACATTATAGAGATATCCAGGGAAATGATGATGCCGGAAGCTCTTATGGCCAACTGTCCCACATGAGGCAAAAACCTCTCCTTCATATTCTAGCAGTTTTTATTTAAATATTTATGGCACCAATGTTTGTAATTCATGGCCCCCAAATCCTTTAACCCTTATGATTGTTTTAAAAATCCAGATCATGTCAAATTTGAGACACATAAATGAGATTGACACTTATCACTTGATTCCCATCAGCATTTTTTTTTTGTCTACACCTTTTTGTGGGTTTTGTTTAGTCCAATTAAGTTAGGAAGTTAGGAATTTTCCATTTGTGGTCTTATTTGATCCAATTCAAAGATCTCCCTGATTTAAATTCGTAAATCATTTGACAACCTTAACCCACTAAGTTGTATTATTATTATTATTATATTTATATATTTATTATGCAATCGTTTGTGAAATAAAGTCATTCTCTGCTGCTGGGATTGAAATGTGAACAAACCCTAACATAGGACTAAACCAGGATTAAGAATGATGTGTCAGACACTATTTAACAATGGTCACATCCACTCTGAAAAGAACTTTATTGTCAATATTTCCTCATGGAGCCCAGAAGCTGTGTCAGTCATTTTCTGCTTTGCCACTGACCTTTTGGGAAATTTTCTTCCACTGATGGAATTGTCATTCCATCACGGTGAAAGACAACAGCGTCATGTAAGATGGTGACTGGCAAAAGTGAGAGCTCAGGCTAATCTGTCCTTGGCAGTGTCAATGAATTCTTCCTTCTGATTTAAAGGAAGTGAGTCTTACTTAAGATTTTAAGGTTTCTTTTGTACATTTCAAAACTGTCTGGTTACCTAGCAGTAAGGCTAGACAATCAAAATAACAGAATATAGAAAACGGCATAGTTTGAAATACTACAGTTTGCCAATTCCTTTTAAGAAGCAAAATAAAAAATATTGCACTCTTAATTTCCTTTTCTTATTGCTTTTACTAGGTATGTAATTCTTCCATTCAGATTAACTTGGTTAAGTTGAATAAGTACTAGGATAAGTGGTTGAGTGATTCCTATAAAATAAGAGCTTTTTTTTTTCTTTATAACATACTATTTTTTTTTTTTAAAGTAAGCCAGACCTGATGAAATCCAAGTTCTGTAACTTACTAACTACCAGTGTGACCTTGGGCAGCTTATTTCATCTCCCCAAATCCTCACTTATTCAACACTGAGTAGCAAAAAGAAGTTGTAATGTATGCTCACCTCCTGGGATTTTGAAATGGGCTACACCCTTAGCACCATGCCTGGCATGTAATACATTTGCAATGTCATGAGTCTCAGGCTACAGTAAAGTACTTGACATCCAAATATTTCAGTGAGTTTATTAAAATAAAAATTTTATTGTCAAAATTCTTTTAAAAAATTTTTCCTCAAAATATTTCAAAAAGTATTTGCACCAAGTGGTATATAGTCAGTGATTAGCTAGACTTGTATAAATGAAGTAACTCCTTTAAATCTAATATAAGCCTTTTACAAGTTATTCATTCTTTCCCTACTATATTTATTAAGCCCCTCTACAGATGAGGTTCTCTTCTTTGGGAATTAGGAAAGGGTTCTTTTCCACTGAGTTAGCTTCTCCATTGAGCTTCCTATTGTCTCGACTGACACTTAGCTTTCACAGTCCCACAAAATGTGGCAGTTTTCTTTTCCCTCTTCTTTCTTCAACATTCCTGTTAAACTTTTTTTTTTTTTTAAGAGTCTCACTCTGTTATGCTGGGTAGAGGGCTGTGGCATCATCATAGCTCACAGCAACCTCAAACTCTTGGGCTTAAGTGAGCCTCTTGCCTTAGCCTCCTAAGTAGCTGAGACTACAGGTGCCTGCCACAACTTCTGGCTAATTTTTCTATTCTTAGTAGAGATGAGTCTTGCTCGTACTCAGGCTGGTCTCAAACTCCTAAACTCAAGCAATCCTTGGTCTCCCAGAGTGCTAGGATTACAGGCCTGAGCCACTGCACACAGCACTCCTCAACTTAGAACTTGTCTTGATGTGACAGCCTCCATCTTTAAGAAGTGGAGATGAGTGTAGTGACAAATAAAGGGGCCATAGAGATTTTTGACCACTTCCAAATTTCCTTTTTCAATTTTTTATGCAGGTTTACAACATTCTTAAATATAAATTTCCAGAAAGTTCTTGACTTATGCGGATTCAACTTATGACCTTTTAACTTTACGATGGCGTAAAAGCAATACACTTTCAGTAGAAACCATAAGGATGCAACCATTCTGTTTTTCACTTTCCATAGAGTGTTCCATAAGTTACACACGATGTTCAACACTCCATTATAAATTAGGTTTTATGGCAGATGATTTTTGCCCAACTGTAGGCTAATCTAAGTGTTCTGAGCACATTTAAGGCAGGCTAAGCTAAGACGTGGTGTTTAGTAAGTTAGATGTACAAAATGGATTTCAACTTAGGATATTTTCAGTTTACAATGGATTTGTCAGGATGTAACCCTACTGTAAATTTAAAATATCCTAAGTTGAGGAGCTTCTGGAGTCGGACACTCCAGCATGTACCTTTAAGTGCAAATATACAGGAATGATTCAGGTGAGTGCATTATACCTACTGCTGCTGCCCCTGCTAACACAGATACCTGATATGTGTGTTATGATATGACAGGATGCAGTGATCACCAAAATTCATTCCCCAACAGATTCTCTATTGTCTATTTATCTATCAATATGTATGTATTTATTGATATTTTACCATTATATTTCTTTGATGAGCAGACACTAAGATGAATCAAGAAAAAAATCAGCCTGGGTTTACCCCAGAACTCTGGATGGCAGGCTGAGAACAGGCATGCTGGACAGGAGTTCTTTCCACTCAGCACATGGCAGAACATGTGGAGGCTCAACCTGGAGCCCCCAGTCTAAGGCAGCACCAGCTTTGCTCCCAGAGCTATCTGGGACACTGCACTGGCAGGTGTCAAGGCAGGCCCCACGTTCTCTCTGGAACATTGCAGGGCGGCTTTTATCTCCACAGAAGAACCCTGAGTTAATATGATTAACCCTACATTTTCAGAGCTGGACTCCTCGGTGAGCTAAGGACTGAACTGGGATTGAAGTGGGTCAGACTGGCTTTTGTGGACGGGCAAAGGCCAAAGTGGGATCTTAGCGCTGAAGACAGCTTCAAGGTCCATGTCCCGCCTGCTCCTCCGTGGGTTCCATTCTGTGGTTTCTGTGGCTAATTGACCTCCAGGCTCTGCCTGAACACTCCTCATGACAGGGTCAGGGTGCAGCCCATTCTTTGGTACGCTGCTCAAATTGTAAGAAGAATTTTCCTTATTTTGAACCAGTATTTACTTTCCTCCAGCACCTTCTATCGCTCTTCTCTTCCTACCTCTTTATCCTTCCTTTGCTCTTTTAGACCAGGGGTTTCCTATTCTGTATGTGGTCATTTTGAAGGTAACTATGTAAAAGTATACTTCTTTTTAATATTCCCTTAGAATGAAGTAAGATCTGTGATTATAATCACCATAGCACCTGAAAATTAATAGGCACTCAATAAATATGTTACAATTTTATTTGGTCAATACCAATGTGGTGCTCAGGAAAGCACAAGAGTTTTGAAATCAAATAAGCCCAGGGAGGGCCAAGTATTAACTTGCTCTGGCATCTTGGGCTATACACAGGTTTTTCACTTTTCTGATCCTCTGTGTCTTCAGATTTTGCTTAAGGACTATCTGTGCCAGCATCCCTGGAACACCCAACACAGTTTCTAGCATACAGTAGGTGCTCAGTTAAGATTAGTTCCCAAATCCAACCCATCCTTCCCCAGCCCACTATCTCATAGTCCAGAATAGCAGTATAAAGAGAAAACATTAAAGAGCATTTGGTTTCAGTCTTGCCTTTTCTAATTTCACGACTTGGATAAATTACTTACCCTCTTTGCATATTTCTCTATCAAAAAATAGCTCATCTACTACAAAGGTTTATTGTAAGGATCAAATAAAATCAGATAGGTAGTAATTTTTTTAAATCATGGTGTTTTCTCAAAAAGTAAAATATTGCTATTGTCAGTAATAATGTTTCAGTGAGTAATTGCTGAATTAATGAATAATCCATTCCTCCTACCCTATCCCACCTCTCAGTGAAGCAGCGAGGAAAAACCCAACAAGCTTAGTATAGAAAATGAGTTCACACGTCTTTATAGAAGCACGTGCACCAGACAGGCACAAATCCGGGCGGACAATCTCACATGAACACTTGGCAGATGAGCCTATTGACGCAATGCTGATATAAAATTTCAGAAGTTCAGAATCCCCCTGTTAAGAGTTGTCCACTACTGACACTGTTCCTCTAATTTGTTCCAGGAATTTCTATTACATCACAATGTTGCGGGATCCAGTGTCGCGTTACCTGAGTGAGTGGAAACACGTCCAGAGAGGGGCCACGTGGAAAACCTCTCTCCATATGTGCGATGGAAGAAGCCCCACCCCAGATGAGCTGCCCACGTGCTACCCTGGGGACGACTGGTCTGGGGTCAGCTTGCGGGAGTTCATGGATTGCAGTTACAACTTGGCCAACAACCGGCAGGTGCGCATGCTGGCCGACCTCAGCCTGGTGGGCTGCTACAACTTGACTTTCATGAACGAGAGTGAGAGAAACACCATCCTGCTGCAGAGTGCGAAGAACAACCTGAAGAACATGGCCTTCTTCGGGCTCACGGAGTTCCAGAGGAAGACACAGTTTCTCTTCGAGAGGACATTCAACCTCAAGTTCATCTCCCCCTTCACGCAGTTCAACATCACGCGGGCTTCCAACGTGGAGATCAACGAGGCCGCCCGCCAGCGCATCGAGGAGCTGAACTTCCTGGACGTGCAGCTTTATGAGTACGCAAAAGACCTCTTCCTGCAGCGCTACCACCACACCAAGCAGCTGGAGCACCGGCGGGACCGCCAGAAGAGGCGGGAGGAGCGGCGGCTGCAGCGGGAGCACAGGGGCCACCGGTGGCCCAAACAGGATGGGGCCGCAGAGGGGACTGTCACTGAGGACTACAACAGCCAGGTGGTGAGATGGTGACCCCCTGCCCTCTCCTGTCTCTCGGGAGGGGGAGGACGAGCGCGCACTTGACCTCCTGTTGCGTGACCTTGCAGCAGCTGGGGCCATTCTGAAGCCTGGCTCTCTGATGGATTTGGACATCTGTTTTGTCGGCGTCTTCATTTTTGTCCAACTGGAGATTATCTGTCTTGTTCTTTTTTTTTCCTTTTTCTCTTGACATTTTTCGATCAGTGATATTAAATAGGATAGAGATACATCCAATAGAGACCACGTTAGAAGGTCAAGGAGAGCAGCACCGCCACAGAGGAAGTGGTCCCCCATCACCACCCCCCACGATCTCCTCTGCAGCACCGTGGGTTATAATTTGGTAACCAGAACTGTGGAGGCCACATGAAAAGCCAAATTATGGCTTGGATGTCTGCTGAGACTGGTCTATTTCACACTTCCTCTGGCATGAGTATATTGGTCTGTTTAAAGCGAGAGAAAGAGGAGGACATTCAGCCCTTTGATGAGGTTTCCCGGCAACCCCCGCTTGGCTGTCGCCTCTCATCTTTGAACTCTATTTGCTTGAGTTTTAAAACAGAAGTCAGGTGTTCGATGTTGCAGTTGTTGTTTAATATGACCCCGCTGTTGACCATTGATAGAGACTCACGTCCCAAGTCATGCTTCTCCCCCTCCCCACGCGTCTTTTAGGGGACAGGGAAGGCATGAAGGACAGGGTGCGGTTCTGGAGCCTGAGGAGCGAGCGCTGGTGGGGGCAGTTAGGGGGAAATGTGCTCCTTTGCTCATAATCCTAGTTTACCATTTCTGATTTTCAATGTGAATACCGACTAAAAAATTAAGAGAGAAAAAAATATATGTCTAACATTTTCCAAACTCACTGTAGAGCTGAGATTTTAAAGGAATGTTCCATGATTTAACCTATTTAGAGTAATCTTCTCTTCTGACATGGCTCTGCCAGGCTTGGAATTCTGCTACCATAGAAGGAAAATATTCTTGGGTGGCACCTGTGGCTCAAGGAGTAGGGTGCCAGCTTCATATGCTGGAGGTGGTGGGTTCAAACCCAGCCCCAGCCAAAAAAAAAAAAAAGAAAAAGAAAAAGAAAAATATTCTTAAACAGATGGTGGCCTGAAGAATAGGAGCTTAGCTAGTTTAGATACAAAGTATATTTGAGGTCATTAAATGAATAATAACTCTGAGGCTAGGAGACAGGGAACACCATTCTGGGGACAGTTATCACAGGAGCTGAGACAGTCTCTACTTCCCAGTACCTTGAATATCTCCAGTCTGATGACTTTTTCTCTTCCTACATGATCTTTACCTATTGTTAGACTATGGCTACCACCAGCAAATCAGGCGAGGATCTTTTAAACTGAACCCCTAAATGGGCTGCATTTCCAAGTGCCCCTTATTTTACTCTTTCCCAGTCATAGCCAGAAGTTTATTGAATGAGGAAGAAGTGTGGGAGGGAGAAGAGAAAGCCTTTGCCCAGTATTTGTTAGGATCAGAGCAGGTGGAAAGTTTCACAACAGATTGATCTGATCAATCCCTTCGAGGCGCTGAAGGCAAAAAGAGTGAAATTCCTAAATCACATTGAAAAGCCTATTTCATTGATATCCCCTGTTTGATGTTTAAACCAGCTTTACGTAAGGCACTTCTCAGCCTCCAGAAAATACTCTCTCTGGGACTGAATCAGCCAACCCACAAGCACTCATGGAGGGCACCTGCACAGAGAGGGTCCAGTGTCTCCATCAAATAGAGATCTGGAGATGCTTCCCTCGCTGCCCTTGGCCTCATCTGTGATACAAAGGGAGACAGTACTGGGTGGCCTCCTTGTGCAAGGGACTGTGGGACACCCCTTTTCTTACCTTAATTATGATAGATTCTGCACAATAAGGTAGGTATTGTTTGTCTCAAGTTCTTAGATGAGAAAGGTGAAGCTCGCAGACTGTAAATAGCAGATTGTAAACAAGGTCTAGCTGACTGCAAAATGTAAGCTCTTTGTATTCCACCGTGTTGTCCAAATGGGTTAAGGGTTCATGCTGCCTAAAGCTTCCTGCCAATCATGCAGGAAGCTGGCTGTTATCGCCCAGAAGTGTTTGTCTGTAACCCATGTGGGTGGCACAACTGTGACAGCAACAAGCTTAACAGTGACCCAGCACTGTGCTGCCTTGGGTCAGTCCTGACCCAGACATGTCACTGACCCATCAGTGAGCTGAGACAGTGATGTGCTTTTTAAGCCATACACAAGGGTATGTTTTAAAAGGGACCATGTAAATATTGCTTGTTAGCTGGTAGAGATGAGGCTCACAAAATATTTGTGACTCCCTTTCCAATGATTTGTTACGAAAGTTGGGAAGGAAGGAGGATTGTAGCTGGGATTAATGAGCAGCACTCTCTCTCTCTCTCCCCTCACATTTTGTTCTTAGGATCTAATGTTCTGCCTAGAATAGCAAAGCTGCAAATTATCCTTCTGCCTGCCACTGTGACACACTCACACGCACACGCACAATAACAACCCAGTGTTTTGTCATGTGGAAAATCAAAACAAGTTAGAAAGCATTCGAATTGTTTCCTTTAAACTCACTTTACATTTTTGGCAGGGGGTTGTGCACAGCTGCGACACGGAGGCAGTCCTGCTAACTCCGCACTGTTCCTTAGGCACCTTGGGATTCAGATCAAAGGCTTTCCACCGCCTTCTGCTGAAGGCAAGATGTGCAGTGCACCAGTGGAGACCAGGTATCGGGATGTTCAGAGGAGAAACCAGCTTTTTGTGTTGGCCCAAGGCCAGTGTTGAGCAAATTAAAAAGACCGACATGGGCTTCCGCCCTCATATCATTTCATTCTAAAGCAGCAGGCTTGTCAGATCCCTGGGGTCCTATGTTGATGGAAATGGAGAGGTAAGGAAGCAGTTTGTTCTCTGAAGTTGATGGCCCACCTACATGCTGAGTGATGCTCAGGGAAGAGACGCCAGCAAGGGGATCTGGGCTTGGGCATGTGTGTAAGTCAGCAGCCTCAAGCCCAAACCAAATCAACTCTAGATACGTTCATGTCAAAAGCCTTATCTCTACCTTTTCTTGGAAGAGACCAAAAAAAAAAAAGTCCCCAGGAGATTCTATAACTTATCAACTTCCACAGTTCCCAGGTAGACATTTCTCCCCTTCTTTTGGCAATGGAAACACCCGTGACCAGACTAGAATGAAGTGTTTTTGTGTGTATGTGTGTGTGTGTATTCAAATTTTATTAAAGACTAAGATACACACTGTGCTGTCTCCCAGCTTTTGGGAACCTGAAGAAAACTTCCTGGAGAATTATATGGATACATGTACCAGTAATGGTTGATATTAACCATCAATCAAATGTGTTAGACAACGGTGAGGGATGCCATGTGTTTTTTATTAAAAATTATAAAGACATGTTTCTCTTTGTCAGAAGGAGGTAACTTTATCATAAACAGTTTGACATAGGTTTGAAATATGAGGACACGTTTGGTTATGGCTTTAAAGTAATTTTTTCCAAAAGTTTCAGTAGAGGTAGTAATAATATTGGGAAGAAAGTCTTCAAGACAGACTTAGCAAGGAGTTTGGAGTAGATGGTTAAAAAAAACAAACATAAATTTATTAGATAGGATTCCTATTTTGGTGACTTTAACAGAGAAACTCAGAATGATAATGATTTCTCTCTGATTGAAAGGTCAGCTGGTGTGATAGCTTTGGCAGGTGCCATTGCCAGAGCCCAGGCCTCTTGTTTCTCTTGCATCTTAACATTCAGCTTCTGTTTCCTGGACCGAGATGGCTGTCACAGCTCCTGCCATCTCTCGCACATTCCTGACAGGCCAGAGGAAGTGAAGGGAAGTTGCACTTGTTGCTTCCACACTCTAGACCTAGGCATTAACCACACCTAGCTGCAAAGGATGCTGGGAAATACCTTTACCATTGGTTGCCACGTGCCTTGATAAGTGGGGGAATCCTCTTATTAAAGTAACAATGTGAAAATACTGAATAAAAACCATTGGTATCTGACACAAAAGGGGTTAAAGACTATTCCAAGTGCTTTTCAATGTCATTTACTTCGGCAGATATTTTGCAAAGGATAGGATTAAAATTGGGCATTTTGTGTAGCATTTGATGGTTTTCAAAGCATCTTTGCATTTAGTATCTCTTTTGATCTTCCTTACAATCCTGTGTGTTAAATAGGACCTCTGTTTATTATTCCATTGGTTGGTTTGGAATGCAGATTCAGACATGTTGAGAGAGTTCCCAAAGATTCTCATTTATTAGCTGAAAGTTGCTCAGTGTCCTGGTCTTCTGGCTTCATAACTTTTCCCGCTCCTCTCTGCTGCTCAGCATCAGTTTGGGACTGGGGATTGCAAGAATATGCAATCTAAATCTTTATTGATTGACATCATCCCTTACCTTTTTGTGAAACTGCAATGACTTAGACAATGCCCACGACTGAGGACGTGGAGCTTCCTGCTTCCGGTGAGCAGGTCCCTTATTGGGAATGAAATATCCAACACATGGGCAATGTTTCAGGGGAGATGTTCAAACACTTCTACCTGGGTTTCCACCCCATCGACCCCAAATCTATTCAAGGTGAAGGCTGAGGGAATGTGCTCACAGCTTCTTGGGAAAGTACAGTGTTAGAAATATTCACAATCAGTAGTGGCTGATTAGTGACTCTTAAGGGGTGATAGATATAACCCCTATTTTAAAAAAAATCTCCCTTTTGCTACTTCTTCCCAGGTCCCTGGGTATTTTATCAGTAACACATTGCTTTAGTTCTTAGTGGTTTTATTTGGCATTATAATAAATGAGTCCCTTTGCACATTCACTGGGAAGAGGAGATACTTTAAGCTGTCATAAGCTAACATCTTCACACAAAAAAGTTTACAGGATTCCTTTCCAAGTATGACCTCTAGCAAGAAGAAAGTTCTGTATAATGGGACCATTTAGAGATAGGGGGTTTGGGGGAGGAGGAGTAACTGTATAGGAAATGGTCCTCCTGAAAGGGAAACAGATCTTTCCAAGGGGGAAAGATGATGAATTACATATGTGCCAGGAAATACTGAAAGCTAGGAAAATAACTAAGATAAGGTTGTTGTCCTCAAAAC